TTAGGTCCTGGATCTACCTTGTCCCAGGATCCTGTAACTTTTTTCAGAAGAGCAAAAAGTTCTAGTTGGCTCACGGAACCTCTGGTTGTCTAAATATCTGTCTCTGAGACCCAGCTCCTGCATGGTGAGTAGCAGTAACACAATAAGCACTTGTCAAAAAAGAAGCAGAAACTGAATAAATGCTCTTCACACAGTATCATAACTGGGTAGCTTATTGGCAACAGAAAATTATGTCTCACAGTTCTGGAGGCCTTAAATCAGTGGTTCTTAATAGGAGTGATTTTCTTTTTTCTTTTTGGTACCAGGGGTGCTTAACCACTGAGTCACACATCCCCAGCCCTTTTTTATTTTTTACTTTGAGACAGGGTCTCACTAGGTCGCATACAGCCTCACTACATTGCTGAGACTGGTTTCAAACCTGCGATCCTTCTGCCTCAGCTTCCTAGGCTGTTGGGATTATAGGCGTGCACCGCCACACGGGGTAGCAGGGGTGATTTTTTTGACCTGGGGACATATGGCAATATTTGCAGACATTTTTGATTGTCAAAATTTCAAGGTGGGTGGTGGTATCAGTATCTGGAGGGTGGAGGTCAGGGATGGGGCTATACCTCCCATGGTGCCCAGGACAGCCCACCCACCATCACCCTTGAATAAAGGTTTATCTGCTCCCAGGTCAATAGTGCCAAGATTGAAAGACCCTAACCCAGGGCATTAACTAAGAAAGAAAACAGACTTTCTTTCCATTCCTTACCTCCTAGGAAATGCAACACTCTCTCTGCCTCTCTTTTCCTCTCTCTATTTTTTTTTCCAGTATTACTTGGTAAACAGAGATATTTATGACAGAGGCTGAAGAGACAGCATTTTATTTCACTGTATCTCTGTTTTCTAACACCTCAGAGCTCACAGCCCAGGGCCTCTGGTGCCCCAGCATAAAATCTGTGAGATTTAAACGTATACTATGAGGTGCCTTATAAAACACACAGAATGTGATCTGACAAGGTCCTTATCCGATGTCCTCTTCCACACGAAATCTTGTGGCCGTAATTCAATTTCAGGGCCTTTCTCCAATTAAAATAGGTGCATGACGCCACCCAGGCCCTGGACTAAAGCTCAGCCTCATGATTAGTGCCTGGTATTTTCCTTCTCTGGGCGATGGATTTTTATTTCACCGAAAATGGGCATTAAAGAACTTCTTAAGAGACACTTTGTACTTAATGATAGTTTTGTTTGTCTTGGAAAATGTGAGATGTTGCTGCGAAATGATAATAACCATTAAGTCTGGGTTTATTCTGGGGTTAATGGATTATTATAGTGATATGGAAAATTATTTCCCAATAAATGTTGAATTTTATTTTATTTTTCCTGAACACACATTCTCTCTCTCTCTCTCTGCCACATGTTTATTTTCTGTATTAAAGATGTGCAGCTTCTCTACAAATGGCCCAACAAAGTTTGCTGAGTTTCTCTACTGTGTGTGACTCTATCTAAAAAAAAAAAAAAAATCATTTCAGTTTCCAATTATGAAGCCACCCAGGGGATGTGCTGGGATTGACTAGTTATGTCTGCCACGGGTGGCTATGGTGGGGAGGTTGGAGGGTCGGGCAACAAGCCTCTCTGAGCAATGGTATGAGGTAGTTCTCCTATTCCTAGAGGAGGAGCATGGTGAGCTTTGTGGAAACTTATTTCTCTGGGGCTCATAGGCTTCTAGAACTGGCTGTTTCTACAAGATTCTCCAGTTCAACTTGTTGGGTCATTGTAGTGGCTTCTTCAGTCACCAATGTCAGTCCTTTTTGATTCATGGATTATTGAGGACAATGGCAGGGAATAAACTCTGAGCCCATGGGACTGCTTCAGAAGGGCATTTGGCACCGACTGGGTGGCCCCGCCATCCTGACAACACAGCCTGGGGAGGGGTGAGTGTTTCCAACATGGATCTGAGGAAACATGGGGCCTGCAGTGGACTCCTCTGCCCTACTTCCGCCTGCTCTCCTATCTGATGAGCTGTCACTGAAGGCTTCTGCTGAACAGTCAGGGGCTGGTTCCTCCCAGGCTGGAACAGCCTGCCCTAACAGTGTTTTTAGAGCACCACTCTGGGTCAGGTCCAGTGGGAGGAACTGGGGAAGTGGAAATCTGCAGGGCGCCCTGCCCCAAGGTGATTGTCCCTGTAGCTCCAAGGGGGCTGATGTAACATGAAGGCTGGATACCACACAGGTGAGGATCAGAGATCTCGCCTACGCCATGTTCTACTGACAGTTTTAATCAGAGCAGCAATTGTGAGGCACTAGAAGACAGAGAGAGGCTGGGGACAGCTAATGTAATCCCCTGAGTGATATCCCCCCCTCCCCTAACAGGTCAAGTCCTTACGTGATGCCCGTAGGAGCCACACTTCCACCAAAGAGAGCTCTGCTCACCACAAGGCACCTCATTTTAAATTCTGATACTTGCAAAAGTGTTATCCAAGAATTCCAGATTTGTTTGCCATAAGCAACACAGACGCCCAGGTATATCTGGCAGAATGCATCCTGTGGGGAAGGACTCTCAACCTTAGTATCTGTCGTTAGCATGTTTACCAAGAAATCAGATTGGGCACTTCCCTTTATTTCCCAAGGCATACCTTGTATACCTCTGTTCTCCCCATGTACTGGGATTGACTAGTTATGTCTGCTGTGGGTGGCTGTGGAGGGGGTCAGAGGGTAGGGCAACGAGCATCTCTCTGAGCCAGCCTGACCTGCTCATTTGAGTTGCTGAAGGTCATACCTTGGTGTGGTTAGAGAAGAGACTCAAATCTAGGACCCTGAACTCCAGGGCCCTTAACTGATGTTCTTGTATATCACAATAGTTAAAAGTACAGACTCTCTGGAGTTTTAAAATCCTGTGTTCTTTACTCCTCACTAGCTACAATCTTGTCCAAGCCCCTTAGCCTTCAGAAATTCTGAAGGGGAAAGGAGATTGCCAGTCCTTGTTTTTCCAGGACTTCACTCTGGGACAGATGCTGGACTAAGTGCTTTGTATCTAATGTTTGATTTAATGACCCCTGAAGTCTTATGTGGTGAGTCCTATTATTATTCCAACTTTACAGATGAGGACCCCGAGGCCCCAGGAGGTCAATTTGCCCAAAGTCACATGCCTTAAGTGTGCAGAGGGGATGTTAAAAAACCAGATGTGTTCCTTCCCGGGACATTTCAGTCATGCACTGTTCCGTTAGAGAGGCTGCCTTTGCAAAAGTGGTTTTATCAAGGGGCCCAGCAATCATCTCTAGCCCAGTTCTCTTTTTGGCAGTAAACACGTGTTTTAGTCAGCTTTTTAAAAGACCCTATCAGAACGATTGTAGAGGAGAAAGAGTTTACTTGGGGGTTCACGGTTTCAGAGGTCTCTGTTCATAGACAGCAGGTTCCATTTCTCAGGGCTCGAGGGGAGGCAGGACATCTTGGAGGAAGAGTGTGGTGGAGGGAAGCAGCTCACATGGTGATCAGGAAGCACAGAGAGACTCCACTCTCCAGATACTGCAAATATTTACTGCAAAGCCACGCCCCCAATGCCCCCTCCTCCAGCCACACCCACCTGCCTCCAGCCACCACCGAGTTAATCCCATCAGGGGTCCATTCACTGATCAGGTCAAGGCTCTCACAACCCAATCATTTCCCCTCTGGATCCTCTCGTATTGACCCACACGTGAGCTTTTGGGGGACACCTCAAATTCACACCATAACACCGTCTGAGTTCTTAAGTGGTTGCTCATTCATTTCTGTCCTGGGGGTTGCAACCAATACTTTAAGTATAAAGCAAGTTTTTTTCAAACAAATTAAAGGAAAAAATATATTAGTGGTAAAAGGAAGGAGTTGAGAGTGGATGCCCTTTGTCAGGACATTGTGTTGAAGCAATATTTGTACTAGTTTGTTGTCAAGGCTCCATGGTGGCAAATACCCACTAAAACACCTGGGGCTGCTCCTTAGTGAGATCATGCATCCATGAAAAGAAGCACAGCAAAACCGGAACAAGCCCTGGTCTCTAAACCTGTCTGGAGACTGTAACCCTGGGCCAGTACTTTACCTTCCCCCTCCTCTCTCCAGTCCTGTGCTCCTGTACTTGTTGCCCGAGATGGCTTCAGAGCAGGCCATGTGGTCCTGCCATCTCCCAGAGGCTATGCGGTTGGCCATTTCCTCTCTTTCTCCTCTGATCCCATCCGACACCACATTGGGAACACAGGCAGACATCTCACGAGCATTTTGAGGAGTGGTTGTTTACTTTATTTTAGGGTTCTGAAACCATTTGAGAGTTTAGTAAAAGTTAAAGATCCTCTTTCCAGCCATATCCCCTTATGGCCACCATTTGGCTCCAAATCTTAAGAGATCCCTGAAACCTCCTAGTGCCTGTGGAGCTCAGGTTATGATCCTCTGCTGTTGGGCAACAATATACATTATCCCTTAGTATCCCTGGGGAATCGGTTCCAGGATCATTTGTAGACACCCAAATCCATGGATGCCTAAGTCCTTTATATAAAAGGTATAGTATTTGCATATGCCCTCCATACATCCTCCTTTGTACTGTATATCATCTCTAGACTGCTTATCACAACTAATGCAGTAATTGCTATGGAAATAGTTGTACTGTATTATTTAAAGACACATAAGACAAAATTTCAATCTGGAATGGATTGAGTCCATGACTGTGGAACCCATGGACACAGAAGGCCAACTGTACTCAAAATTTGGAGATAGAAGCAAACAGGTTGGATATACAAGGCCTGTGTGTGAAGTCTGAATAGAGTCTCACGAAACTACCCACTATAGTGGGCGGTTTCTAGAATGGACCCAGTGAGCCTCACCTCTGTGTACTCACAGTCTTTACAGTCCCTTGGCCTTGAAAGTGAGCTGGGTCCCATGACTCCTTTCTAACATGTACCCTGACAAAAGTGAAAGGGTGTCACTTTCATGATCAGGTTATGAAAAGACTCTGCCTTCCATCTTGCTCATTATTGTCCTGTCACTTTCAATCTCCAGTGGAAGCCAGTCACCATATCTGACCTGCCCGGTGGGAGGACCACATGGCCACACACCAAGGAAGGCCTCTGCCCAGCAGCCAGTGCAGAACTGAGGTCTTAAGTCAACTGGCTCACTAGGAAGTACATCCTGTCAACAATGACGTGAGTGAACCTAGAAGCCGGCATTCCCTCAGTTGACCCTTCAGCTGAGACTGTTTCCAGCTGACACCTTGATTCATCTTGTGAGAGATCTTGAGGCAGAGGCCCTTAGCTAAGCAGTGCTTGATTTCTTTTTATTTAATTTTTATTTTTAAGATTAACTAATTTATTTAAAAGTTTGTTCTTTTTAGTTATACATATAGTAGGATGTATGACTTATTACACATAAATGAAGTATAACTTTCCATTCTTGTGGTTGGACATGATGTGGAGTTACACTGGTTGTGTATTCATGTATGAACGCAGGAAAGTTATGCACAAATCATTCCGCGGTCTTCCCTATTCCCATCACCCTCCCTTCCCTTCATTCCCCTTTGTCTAATCCAGTGAACTTCTATTCTCCTCTCCCCCATTGTGTGTTAGCATCTGCAGATCAGAGAGAACATTTGGCCTTTGGTTTTGGGGGACTGGCTTATTTCACTTAGCACGACAGTCTCCAGTTCCATCCGTTTACTGCCAGGTGTCATCATTTCATTCTTCTTTATGGTGGAGTGGGATAACTGGGTCAAATGGTGGTTCCATTCTCAGTTTTCTGAGGATTCTCCATACTGCTTTCCAGAGTGGTCGCACCAATTTGCAGTCCCACCAGCAACGTATGAGTGTGCCTTTCCCCCCACATCCTTTTACTTGTATTCTTGGTGATTGCCGCTCTGACTGGAGTGAGATGGAATCTCAGTGCAGTTTTAATTTGCATTTCTCTAATTAGTGCCTTGATTTCTAATCCTTTTACATTATCAGGTTGTGGGGTAACTTGTTACGGAGCAGTACTAATACATTCATCGTTTCATAACTTCAGGTGTAAATATCACCCAAAAGCTCCCGGAAGGAATTCTCTGTGAATTCGATATTCTTTTTTTTTTTTTTTTAAAGTCAGAAATATTTATTTATTTTATTTGTTCTAATTAGCTACACAAGACAGTAGAATGCATCTTGACACATTGTAGAATTTGATATTCCTAAGAGACAGGAGAGCGGCGCCTGTCTGAGATCCCAGGCTGGGGATGGCAGATGACCTTGACGCTACAGGAGGCCTCCTGCCACCCAGCCGCTGCCAACATGAGGCCTCCCAAGGGCGTCTGAAATCCCTGGCCTTTCCTCCTCAGGCTCTGGCTGTGTTCTATGGCCAAACACAATAGGAAAAGAAAATGGACTGGCTTTCATCTCTGCAAATGATGAAGTGGTCATCAATCCCTCTCCCCAGGGCAGATGTTCTGTTGCCACAGAGAAAGGGTGACCTTTGCTTGCTCCATGGAGGTGACATATTATTTCTTTTGGCTCCCCAGAGGGCTTATGGGGGTCCTGTCACCAGGAGCCAAGAGGCTGCAGTCAGGACAGATGGCTCTGGGCAAACTGGCAGCTATGATGAAGGGCAGGCCGCGCAAAGGTTGGGCATGCCCAGCTGGATGACCATCAGAGCGCAAATCACCCCAGCAGGAAGATGTAGCGCCAGCCACCATGAAGCTTGTGACCCAGAAACCACCAGCCTGGCTCCCTGACAGCAGAGGTGGGGCACAGCCTCCAACAACGGTGAAACCTTCAGGTCCTAGTGGACCACATGCTCTCAGGGAGGAAGCCATTTTCCTTCTGGTCAGCTGGGTTCTGTCCTGGGAGAGATAGGAAGGCCAAGGAAGAATCGTGAAGGAGGCCAAGATACTGTGGCCCACCCTCCTTGAGTATCTTCCCAGGGCGTATGTATTTCAACAAGAGGCTCCCAGAAAGAGTCAGAATTGAAAGGTTCTTGATTCATCAGCGCCTTTGCTCCCTGATTCCGGAAATTACAGCCCCTCCGTGTTTCCTGTGCCTGAGCTTTGGAAGCAGGAGGATCAGGAAGACCAATGGTGTAACTCTCAGGCCAAGGCTGAAGTCCTGAGAACCTGGGGGGCGGGGCACTGGTGCAAAGTCCCCAAGTCCAAAGGCCCGGACGCTGGGAGTTCTGATGTCGGAGGGTAGGAGAGAATTGAGATGTTCCAGATCCAGAAGAGAGAGCATGTCTTTGCCCTTCCTCTGCCTCCTCCCACCCCCATCTAGACCCTCAGTGGATTGGATGAGGCTCCCACCCAGACAAATGCAGAAATATTTTCCTGGCTATCTGTCTGTCTTCTGACACAGTCACGTTAACGTCTAAAATCAACCATCATAAATCCACCCTTGGTTGGCTGGGTGCAGTGATGCATGCCTTTACTCATAGTGGCTCTGGAGGCTGAGGCAGGAGGATCACGAGTTCAAAGCCAGCCTCAGCAACTTAGCAAGACCCTAAACAACTCAGCAAGACCCTGTCTCTAAATAAAATATAAAAGAGGGGCTGGGGATGTGGCTCAGTGGTTAAGTGTCTCTGAGTTCAATCCCCAGTACCAAGAAAAAAAGAAAAAAAAAGAAAGAAAGCTCATTTTTGGTCAATTTGACATATGCATCTCCTTAAACCATATGAATCTCCAAATAAAGACAATAAATGTAACAGATCTGCCTACCATGATGGGACTGTGCCCCCTGGACCCAAGATGCATTCATTCTTTCCCCAGAAGTAAAGTCCTCGAGTGTCTCTTCTTATGACATCTTCTAACATAAATACTAGGGTGTATAATTAATAAAACTTAAATACTGACACAAAGTCCACACATGTTATGTTACATGATAAAAGAGTCAGAGAGAAAAGAAAACAAAGATATTTGTTTAATATAAATATATGCACACAAATATCTTCATAACAAAATAGGAAATGCTCCAATAATCACAGTCCTCATTTTTGTGACTAGTCCCTTGGTCCACTATAGCTGGATTGATAACCACTTTTGTCCACGGCCCACTCTGTATTCCCTCTGCCCTCTGCAAGCACCTCAGTTGGTCATTGTCCTTCGCCTGGCTGTGTGTGTGACCCAGATCTTCGTGATAGGAAACACCCAGGCTGTTCACGGTTCTGCCTGGGCTGGGTTGTGGTAGTTTTCCATTGACCTTGATCGTAGGGTCTGGGAAGACTAGGAGAGAGATGTTCTAAGGGATCACCTGTGTTCCACACCTAGTCTTCCGTGTTCACTGTGGAGTAGTGGTCCAACTTCCCCTTGACATCTGGGTCAGGCATCCCAGCCAACACCATAATCCATTCTTGGCCAGTTGACCCAGAGGCATGAGGAGCTCAGAGTGGCCAGAGAGAAGTATGACACCGCAGTATTAAATTTAGTCAGCTTTTCCCCTGCTGAGACCAAAAAACTCCATAGAACAATTTTTAAAAAAACTTTATTTGTTTGGTACCAGGGATTGAACCCCGGGGTGCTTAACCACAGAGCCACATCCCCAGCCCTTTTTGTATTTTATTTAGAGACAGGGTCTTGCTGAGTTGCTTAGGGTCTTGCTAAGTGGCTGAGGCTGGCTTTGAACTCACGATCCTACTGCCTCAGCCTTCCAAACCAATGGGATTCAGGTGTGCATCACCGCGTCTGATGACAAGAACAGTTCTTGAGAAGGAAAAGTTTATTTGGCACTTGTAGTTTCAGAGGTCTCCGTCCACAGATGGTCGGCTCCCTTGCTCTGTGCCAGAGGAGAGGTAGAATATCATGGTGGGAGGGTGTAGAGAGGATAGCAGCTCAGAAATGGCAATCAGGAAGCAGAGACTAAGCTCTGCTCACTGGGGACAAAATATGCACACCAAAGGCATGGCCCTCGGTGACCACCTCCAGCAGCTGCTCGCTCCCTGCCTCCAGTTACCACCCAGAAAATCCTTATTAGTGGATCAACATACCGATTGGGTGAAGGCTCTCAGAACCCCACCATTTCATCTCAGAACTTTCTTGCGTTGTCTCACACCTGAGTTTTTGGGGGACACCTCACGTCTAAACCATCACAAGTTCAGCGAGATCATTGTTGTCCCCTGGTGACAGAATGACTTCCTCTGGGACCAAGACTTCTGGGCAAGCAGAGCATAAATTCATGGGGACAAGGAACAAAAATTGTGCTAGTGGACCTGTAGGGGAAATGGGGAGAGGGGACACTTTACCATTTCTGCACCTTGATTCCTGGACCCCCTGAATCCTAGCTACTGAAGAAATGGAACCACATTCAGAGCACGCGCAGCTTTCTGGAGACCCTTGTCCCTGCCCTGCAAAATGTGATGACCAAGGTGTGTGTTGTAACTGAGCCTTCAAGGACCGGGCCACCCTTCTATCAAGCCAGCTTCAGGACGGCAGGGAGGAGGTACGCCCATGAGGCCGGGTCCCCCCACTGCACTTCTTTGGCTGCGAAGTGAATCCCTTTGTCAGAAGCAAGGCTGCGTGGGATACAGTGACGGGGTATCGGACAGGCCATTCTGTAGGTGAGCAGATGGTCATTTTGGCAGAGGCATGACTGGCGGGGAGGACACATCCACATCCAGAGTCCGTGTCTGTTCCAGTTAAGGACACAATATTGCCCCCCTCCGTGATAGAAGTGGCCCAAGCTAGTCAACCTGCTTCTAAGCAGCTGGCTGGTCATTTGGAGGGAAGGTGTCACATCGGAGGCTCAGTGTTGGTCTCCACTTACGGAGGACTGGGCACTCAGTGGTGCGTGTAGCTGAATGGTCCTTGGTGAGTGCAAGTCCCTGTTGCTCAGGCCGTGTGTGACCTTCATCCTGCCACCCTGGCCACTTTGTTCATGAGCCCAGTGGGTGATGTCAGGGGTGGCTGCTCGTCACAGAACCGGTCATTCTATCTCCTGGATGATTAGAGTCCTCTGCTGAGATTACCTTTTAGGAATCATTCACAGGAGTCACAAATATTCTCCAATTGTTTCCTCTTTCAGAGAGCTCTCTCTGCCGACCTCTTTCTCCAAATGTCTTTGCCACCAATTTTCCAGTCATATTCTTTCGATGTCCCTGACCATCCAGCCAAAGCATTGACTGCAGCCCATGAAATCAGTAGGTAATTGCATGTCTGGCCATTTCTCCTTCTAAGCAAAGTGCATTGCCGGGTGCACTG